GAAGAATATTTATCAAAATTATAATAGAAATATTAATTTAAATAGGAAAATGTTTTATATGTGTTAAGACAGTATTAAAAATGTATAGCCTCAAGGGAATAAATCCACTGTACTGTCCATGAAGATGTTTAAAACAGTCCTTGAAGTCCACACTCAGCAGCCTGCTTTGACCAGAAGTGCAAGTCACAAACAGTTGTCTTCAGCATCATCTGTAAGGTCAGCCACAGACCCTCCTGGCCAGAAACAAGACTCCTGCCTGCAGAATATATGGTTTGATGAGTGGAAGGTAGGGTTGAGATGCAGATGTCCTGCTGAGGTTCTCAGGAGCTGAACCCACACTGCTGCGTCTCCCAGTGACCTGCGTGATGCTCCACCACAGCTTCTCTATCAGCTGGTAGATGATGATTGTCAAAAACTATCTGCATAGCATAAAGATAAAATCACAAAGTCACACTGTGCAAAGCAAGAGCTGAAAAATACTAATACACAGGCTTGTCGTGCTGCTGAAATCCTAAAATGGTTCTGAATTCTGGTCTTCGTGACCCACTATCCTGCATGTTTTAGATGTTTCCCTGCTCTTCCGCAGGTCTTTAAGTTCTGCAGAAGCCTGTCAATCACTCATTCATTTAAATCATGTGTTCCAAAGCAGGGAAACAGCTAAAACATGCAGGATAGTTGGTCACGAGGACCGGAATTCAGAACCACGGCGCAGCTTCGGTGTTGTGTTAGCTTGATAGCTATTTATACTATAGAAAGAGTGCAACATAATTTACATGTAACGTTATGACAAAAGGAACACTTGTGTAGATAAAGTATGGGCAAGACACGATAGTTAAAAATATATTGTTGATAGTTTGTTCTTACCTGTAACAGCAGCTTAGCGCTAAGCTCTGTGTGTGGCTCACCTCCTGTTTACAAGCGTGCGCGCTCCCGACTCTGGGCCCTGCTGTGGGGGAGGAGCTAAGAGCAGGGGGAGGGACCAGGAGGTTGTATCTGTTCAAAAAATTTCTAAGTTTTTGGGTTTTCAAATACAGCAGCTTTAATCATCATTAAAGATCATTAATGTTTTTGAGCAAACCTCACATTTAATTAGAACATAATGGGGAGTTTAGAAAGCTGAGGGTAATTTTTACATTTGCTGAACAGGAACATCATAAAACTGAAGGTTTGCAAAAAACAAAACATTCAAATCAGGTTGTTTTGGAGAAGTGACTCAATATAAAGAGATCAAAACATTAAACATTGAGGCCAGAATGGGAACTATCTTTTCCCTTTGTGAGGAATTATCTAAACTTTAAGATTATTTGTAAAACAAAAAAAAAGTATTATGCACTGGAATCAACTACTAAATTTCATAAAAACMTCTGAAAGTACTCCTTAAATAATTCGTAACTACCGGTAAGTATAAGTTGTTAAAAGTAACAATTTAAGATGACAATTTTTTTTCTTTAATCTACCTTTCAGCCATACCATGTAACTTAATAAAACTTTCTGCCTTTATTAGGAAAAACCAGGAAGTCTGGCCTAATTCTTATGTCCAGTTTAAGAAATAGAAAATAGGATAATAGCTTTATTGGATCAAAGTGGAATATCTTTTAAATTAGTCCCAGCAAATATAAGAAGGATTTGTCCATGTTTATATTTAATCACAGGGACATGTAAATACTGATGGCTTACAGTTCTTTAATTTCATAATGTAACAAACCGGAGTTTTAAATGTTTATTTAACAGTTTAGTTTATTTTGTGGTTTTGAACCAAATTTTTCAGGTACAGAAAGGAGAGCTTTGGTGTGGAGACATGAAAGATAGCAAATCAAACNTGGTTAAAGTTCAGTTCTGAGATCCATATTATTCAGACTGTGGATAAAAGATGACCTTACACCAGGGGTTCTCAAGCCATTTGGGTCTAGGGACCCCTTACAAGGGCTAAACAAATTCCAGGGACCCCCTCATAAACCCCATGCTGTTTTAAAAGATGGTTTATTGTCATTTCAACCCATAAAAGCCATGGGAATTTATATTTTCGTTAAGTTTATGTTTGTTTTATTAGTTCATTGTTCTCCATGCATTTAAAAAATATAAACCAAATTAACAATTTAGTAAACAATTTTTGAGGACCCCCAAGTTACCTCTGGCAGACCCCTGGGGGTCCTGGAACCCCATTTTGAGAACCTCTGCCTTACACTATAAGCTGAAGAGTGAGCTGGATAAACAAATGCATCCAACATTTTTAATTCTAGCTGAGTAGATTGTTGTTTCATCAACAGTTGTCCACCCTGCTTCGATCAATAGACGTGTTAAAAGAATTGTTCCGATACATCCCGCCCTGGCTCAGTTCTTTAGAGAACTTCTGGGACTTGGGGTGGAACGAACACGGCGAGGTCTCAAAGGTCGGAGGGAGACGCCCGTAGTCACTTGAAGTTGTCCTGTACAAGAGACTTCGAGGATTTGTTGTTGCTGCTGATCTCGCTCTCATCGTGCAGGAGGAAACCGGGCTGATGCCTGGTTTTGGACTTTCTGCCTTTGGCCCTTCAGAGAGCGACATCATGGAAGTGCCTCTACAAAAACACAAGAATTTAAAGACTCAGAGGATGTAGACTTTACCTCAACATATATTCTATGAAGTCAACATTATAACAGTCAAGAATAAAAAGACGTTTTCTTTTAGTTGCATTTCATTTTATTGTTGATCAACTATTAATCTCATAAGTACAAAGCTGACCATTAGGAGAAAGTTTTATATTAACCTTTCTTTTTAACTTTTCAAAATCSTTTAAAGGTAACCGATAGGGCTTTTGGAGTCAGGCCTATATGCAGCCATTGGAAGTAAATGTTTGCTAATTAAACCTCATACAAGGCTAAAAACCACAACAAAAATGTCATTAATGAGCATAAAGCTTAATCTACTTCATACACCGGAAGTAATTACAAACCTTTGTATTATGTAGGGCTTTGAACTACAACACGATGAAGTCAAAGCATCCTAAAACACTTTAAAATGGGAGAATAATTTAGAAAAATACATTTTAAAAAATATACCTGATTTACATCGATTAAAAAACGATGTGTGAAGACAGATGGGTGATCTTAGCTAACACTATTGATTTAATTTCCTATCCTTTTGAAAAGATAGATGCTCGGTTTTACGAATAAATAAATATCTAGTTGCGACTGACGCAGAGCTGTTTCCAGTAAGTCATTATATTATGCATTATTTACCTTAAAATATAACCACAGTAAAAATGTCCACGTTACCTTGACTTGTGGCTTTATGTCCGGTTTAGTGCGTCTGATTACCATGGAAACCACGTCTCAGGAAACTCAAGCTTTTTAATTCTGTTTAAATATTTTAAAACAAGACTCTCTGTCTGAACCGTGCGACACAGATGTTGACAAAGAAACAAAACTTTTGTTTAATCTTTGGCAAAAATAAGTGAATTTTACTTAGAGATAAACTCACTATCCATTAAAATTAGACATTATTAATGGGAAAACCGTTAAAATGTGTAATTTGACTGGTAAATACAGGGTTTTTGTGAAGCTACTTCTGTATTGGCTTCATTGCAATTTTTCCTAACTTTTTTTTTTTAAATATAAAAAGCTGTGGATTATTAAATTGTTGATTAGTCCTGTGGTCYTCAGTGCAGAAAGTGACAATTCTCTTATTGTACCTGAAGGCATCGTATCTACGTCATAAATAAGCGCGAAGGTTTACGTTTAATTCAAGCGTCTCTGTTTCCAAATTTCCGAAAGCCGCGTTTTACTCGAGCTATTCTACTCTAAGCTCTTTTTCAAGTTATTTACCACCGYTCCCTTGTTGTTTTAGGAGGAGACTCGTCTTTCTAAAAGAAGCTGCGGACKTTAAGTAGTTTGTTGTTACCCGCTTCAACAGCTGGACCCGGAATGGACAGTGAGATCCAACGAGACGGGAGAGTCCTGGATCTGACCGATGATGCCTGGAGGGAAGACAAACTGCCTTATGAAGATGTTTCCATCCCACTGGTAAAAAAAAAAAAATAATAATAATAATAATAATAATAATAATAATAATAATATATATAAATATATATACAATCAAATAAAAATAAATAAATAAATGTTTGCATTAATGTGATACAGGGGTCGAGTCAAATTCTTGGTACAGACTCACACTGGTATGGATGTGTGTTGCTGAACTGTAATAACCCCCTCGCTTTTTATCTCCCAGAGTGAGCTGCCAGAGGCCGAACAGGACAATGGAGGATCCACAGAGTCTGTGAAAGAGCAGGAAATGAAGTGGACAGACCTCGCCCTGCAGAGTCTGCATGAAAACACACCAAGTTCTGGGAGCTGAACATAAACCGCAACATAAACGGACGGTGGCATTAGTCACATGAAACTTAATACCTTTGATTTATTCTTCATATAATATTGCTTTGTAATAGCGAGTATAAAATACATCCAATGGCAAGACTGTTCTGCCATGTGTTGTGCGTCAACTATGAAAGGAAGTCTTTATTTTAGGAAGCTGCAACACAAACTCGGAGTACAGTGGTGGCAGATTTAAATATACCATCAGCTCCACCTGTGATTCAAGTTCATACCACTGAGATCCATTTTTCACAAAACCCTATTTAGATTGCTTAAAGCTTGAAGTAAATGTTTGACCTGAAACACAAATTGTATCATGAGTACCATATACTCTTCTGCAAAAAAATTGAAATCTGTGATGAGGAATGCCATAATGCAAGAACAAGTTGCTGAAGTATATATTTCTACAGCATTCTACCTTAATACTGCCTGTTTTAATATGGTAATTATTTTACTAAATCCCATAAAGTTCATCAGTAAGACAAAAGACTAAGTTTATTTTCTGCAAAGGTTTTTTTGTGATGCATCTGATAATTAAAGGTGCTTTGACGATTTGTGACCACTTGATGTCGCTATAAGACATTAAGAATGTTGACTTAAACTATTCATAAAGTACATAATTGACATGTCATCAAATACAGGTTAAAAACAACTATTCTTAAAGCACACTGATAAAAAAATGAAATTAAAGTTTGAATTTTCTTCTATAACTGTATGAGACACCAGATTTTGGACACTTTATTTTGATGAACCTACAGATGAATTTTAAATTTACAGCTTTTGAATCCRAAACAGCTTTTAATTTTCAGACCTTGAAAATTCAAATACTCCTTTTTTATACTTGTCCAAACACCAGACTTAATGAAACAGACATTTGGGAGCTGAATAGAACAACTTCTATCATTTAATGCAGGACTTGATGTGCTCAAATGTTTCAGGGCTTCCTTTGTTTGATGACAGTTTTATTATCCTGGGCAAACTAATTTTAATGTTATAAATATAGACTTCTACAGGTCACATATTCAGATGGAGGTTTGGCCCTGGAGAGACCTGTTGTTAACTTTTATTTGAGTTTGGGTTCTGCTTCTGCCAAGTTGTTGCTCTCAGTAGCAGTGATTGGTTTCACAACATGTGTTTGTTGTGGAGAAATGGTAAAACACTGGTTCTTTGCCTGTTTTTAACTCACTGGTACTGAGTATTTGTGTTGACAGTTTCATGTTCATCCTACGATTAAAATGATCTGAGTCATTATTACAGAATGTGATTCACTTCTGAGGTTTGTTGCTTGTCGTCACATCTTGTGGTTTTACACTCGTCACATCCCTAAAATGACTCGGCTGTTAAAATCCCTTAAACCAGAAAACAGTGAATGTGACGAGAGCAAAAATCGTCACATCAGCTGTTCAGAATATTAACTATTTCATTAATTATGGTTAAAATCATGGCAAAAATAAACGTGTAAAATACATTCAATAGATAACAGAAGAGATTAGTCATGTTTTGTTTAAATTAGGTCATAGATTGTTTCATTCATGTCAATCAGAGACCATTTTTAGCACAGTAGCTGTTAATTTTTAACAGAAAGCAGGTTTAAACATAATAATAGAGAGTGATATATGTTTTGAGTGTCCAATGTGGCAAAAAGTGAGTTCCCACGCATGGTTTCCGCTCGACTCCCTCCGTGTGTATTTTCCAGCAGCACACGGCTTGCCATACAATACGGTTTGCTCACGAGCGCTGCCGAGTGCAGACTGCACGAGGAAGCGGAACAGNACGTTCTTCATGGATTGCACTTTTATGCTGAATGAAACTAACTTATAGAATATTTACTCAACTAAGGAGCACATAACTTCACCCCCTTAATCAACAGGTATTGTCCGCTTATAACAGCCAAAAGTGAAGCATTTGTGTGCACATTAACTTGAAACACGTGAAAACGTTAGCWTGTTAGCCTTCCGGCTAACAACTGAGAGCGCCGTCAATTCATTTACGCTATTAGCATGCTAACAAAGCTAAGGTTAAAAGCTAATGCCGAGAAAATCGTTTAAGATTATTTGCCATGTCTTAAACTATCTTTAAATGCAACCCAGTTGTTGACTTTTGTAAATTGTTCTTTTTAATAATCTTTCAGCATGTTGTAGCRTTTTAATACTAAGCTAACACGACCACAGCAGTCCCTGCTAAYTCAAACTGTCAAAGCTATCGAGTTACTAATCTTTACATCAAACTGCTAATCTTTTAGCTATCTTTAACATATTTAAAATAAACGCAATATTTTTGATGTTTTTACTATAGTAAAGCAATTGTGAAGCAAACATTTAGAAAAACAGCATTTCCAATTGATTTTTTTTATTTGTTGATAATATTTAATTATCTTGATGCCAAGGCATCCAATGAAATTTGAAAAATAAGTCAGAGATGTTAACATTTTGCAGTGTGTTTAGTTTTTGTTCACCTTTGATAGTTATTTTATATTGGGAGCAATATGATTACATTTTGGGGAATAAAATCACAAACTGCCTTTCATTCCTCAAATATTTATATGTCCACATAGGCAAGACATTAATTTGAGGAACATTTGCCACTTCATTAATTCATAGTCACATTTAAAAATGTAACACGTGTTTTAAAAGGAGAGTCTTATTAATTGTGCCATCAGAATGTATTCACAGGTGCACAAAATATAGTTTTAAAGAGGATGTTGCAAAGCTTTTTTCTGCACAGGCACCATTGCAGGAAATAAAAATTTGGGGTTGTTCTTGCAGTCCTGATCTCTTTTTTTTTTTAAGTCTAGGAGTTTTTTGCTCAAATATGTTTTGTGTAAATGCTACTACATTATTTTAACAGTTGCCTAACTTTTTTATTATTATTTTTCAGATGAATCAGTTAATTGATGCTTAAGCTGTCAGAATAGTTTTTATTATTACAGAGCCAGAACAATAGAACACCTACCACAGTGTACTTTTTGTACATCTCAGGTCCAAAATGTAAGTCTGATTTTTGTTTTTGTTTCCTCTGTTGTAGCATCATGGATGCAGAAGGTTTTGGAGAGCTTCTGCAGCAGGCAGAGCAGTTGGCTGCAGAAACAGAAGCTGTGTCTGAGCTGCCGCACGTTGAAAGGAACCTWCAGGAGATCCAGCAGGCCGGGGAGAGACTTCGGTCTCGTACTCTGACCCGCACTTCCCAAGATGCAGCWGATGTTAAAGCGTAAGCAATTCCACGTTAATGAGCTTTTTCCAACATTGTGACTTTCATACATTTATCTATTTATTTGGAAATGTGACAGAATATTTTTACAAGCAAATTATAGAATTTCTTGCCCAAATAATTGACATGTTTGACTGCCATAATGCTAAAAAGGAACACACACATTTTAGAAAATGTGCAAAATCTGAGGTAATATGCTTTACATACCACTTGGGATTAACGGTATTAAATAAAAATGATAGTCTTGTGCTGCCCTCTAGTGGTTGTTATTTAAACTACTCCATTTTTTTTTTTTTTTAACAAATCTTCTCTTTCTTTAACAGGTCAATCCTCCTTGGTTCCAGAGGTTTAGACATCTTCCACATTTCTCAGAGACTGGAAAGTTTAAGTGCTGCCACCACTTTTGAGCCTCTGGAGCCCGTCAAAGATACAGACATACAGGTATGAATAAACAATAATAAATAATRCCGCAAGCAAAGTTCTAATACACGACTTTTATTTTATGATACGTTTAGAAGCCATTCCAATAAATTATTTGGACTTTTAATGATATGTTATTGACCAATAGAAAAATAAACTACAAAATAAACTTTATAAATGTTTTCTTTTTGTAATTATTAGTTGTGAGTCTGGCATTACTCAGGCTTGGGTTTTACACCTGTACAGTTATGATGAATTCAAAATCACTTCTTTAAAGATCCTGCATTTTTTTCATTTCCCTTTTTGTTTTCCAAAGCTGATTCTCATTTAACACCTTATTTAGAGACTTGTTTTTGTCTTCCATTTCTATTTGATCCTTTTTTTTTATATACAAGTACTTCATGTTCTAATGGAGTTCTCTTCTTCTTGGTCAGCCGGATGTGTGCTGGCTTGGGTAGGTTTGACAGATTTACTGGAAGAGCACTTAGCTTTTGACACACACACACACACACACACACACACACACACACACACACACACACACACACACACACACACACACACACA